CATCTGATATTATGGTGCTTGGGACTAAGATCTCCAATCTACATAACATAAATAAAGGTTGGCAAACAATGTCAATGGCTGTAAAATTTATCGATATTCACAACACCATACTTAGTTCCTCTGTTTGGGTAAAACATACAACTTACAAGCATGTATAAGCAGCCGCCAGCCTAACAATATCCAATTTTCTGTAATATTCTAAAAGTTCAGTACAACCTGGGTCAATGAATCAAGTGGGACATGATGACAGAGAGATCCCATAGCTGCCCAGTGTTCGGGCGTAGGGGAGAGTGGGGTAATTTGGCCGCTTTTTTTTTTAGAAAACGATGTAATTAAAAATCGACAACACATTTCTGCATTTTCTCAACGCTGACAGGTGTGGCATACATTTTACTTTCTTGGACAGTAAACTTGAAATGATAGAGTAACTACTTATATTGAAATTGTGACGTATTACAAAGGTCTGCAAAGCGGCCAAATTGCCCCACTAGCAGGGTTATTTGGCCGGGGAGTGTGGGGCAATTTGGCCGGTGTTAGTTTGAGGCCATGATTTTTGTTATAGGCGAGTCAGCTTCACATTCAGCAATGACGCGTGTCCTACGACGCATTTGAAGCATTTTGGAGGTTGACTCAGCCGTCACAGGGGTCGAAAATAGTCAAAATAACGGCTCTAGATGCGATGACAGTTTTTTACTAATAGCTTTTGAAGTAATCAAGCTAGGCCAAAACTAAAAGTACCATCGTAATTCTCTCGTCATTCAGCATCGAAACATATATGTGTTGACCTCGAGAGTCAAGGTCAAAGGTTGGCTTCAGGTCACGTTACCTCAGGTCGCTTGACCTCAAGGTTACGTGAGTTCAAGGTCATCATGTATATCATTCGATGCGCCTTGACGAGCTGAACACAATGATACCGTTTGCGCGGCTGTATCTTTTTTATGTAAGTGTTTATTAGCAAAAAAGCGCTAGGTAACCTTTGATGACGTCACATGCCCTTACAGCTGTCCAATAGGAAATATGGCATCAAGGTAGTCAAGGTTGGTCATGAATTATGTCCTTTATGGTATAATTGACCATGACAACTCGGCCGTCCCAGCATAGTGACTCTGAGTGCACCGGCCAAGTTGCCCCGCTAGTCCCGGCCAAATAACCCCACATTGCCATTCTGAAATTTTTTGTGTATTAAGTCGTCATGGCTGTACAGAACTAGATGAAATTGCTCTTGGAACCACTGAACACCCTCAAAAATGGCGCTATAATGTTGGAATTCGTTTACAGCCCAAATACTACATGTTATACAAATTTTTAAACGGAAGTAAAAGTTACCATTTTCTAACGAAATTCACCTTTTATTAATTTTGAATAAAACTAAGAGGGGGAAAGTTTTGACATTTGTTCTCGAGCTAGTTCAGCAGACGACAAATGAATAGAGAGTTAAATTATTTCATTCACTTTTATCAGCTTTCGTACAGGTGGGGGCGGCCAATTTACACCACCGGCCAAATAACCCCACCCTACCCTACTGGAAAGCCTCACGCCGGAAGGACGTGGAAGGGTGATAAAAGTCCACCGACGGACCTTGTGCCAAAAATTGATTGCACAACCCAGGAATATGCACAGAAAGACAGTTTTTTACGGTGTTCACTCTCCCGAAGGGCACATGAAACAAGCCCGTGCGGCGGTTACGCCTCCCAGGCACATTAACCCTCGCCGGCACAGGCCAATTTGCGTCCTTCGACGGCACAAGGAGGGGGGGGGGGCGGGGTTGGTACGACCCCCCCTCGCGTTTGGCCCCTGATCGAGCTAGAGCTTCGAGGAAAAACGAGCGTGTTGCCCGTCACGAGAGGAAGCCGATGATATCCAATTTTAAGGTCCTAGATCATCGGCCGACCTTCCAGGTCAGGTCAATGACCCAAAAGTCGGGAAAATCGGGACCTGTTAGAAAGTCGTAAAGTGTGGCTGCTATGAGGTTTTCTGGGGTGCTGATCACGAATATCGTGTTAGTTTTGATCACAGATGATGTCTTTGGGCATTTAGACCAGGTCGGGTCGGGTCAGGTCAGGTCAACCGGTAGGGGTCGTGACGGGTATTCGTAGAACGTGTCAACCGCCTCTGACAGCTTCGTAGCATGTTACGAAGGCACAAAAAAACTACTTCGTAAATGTTGAAATGGTTGATAAATTCGAGTTCAGCTAAAAAAACTAGCCTAGAAACATGTAAAACTCGAAAAAGTGAACCGAGGTCACCAAAGGTCAATGACCTGACCTGACCATCAGGTGACCTTGACATCCACCATGCATGGGAGCAACATCAGATCACATGTTTGAACGTTTGAAACCACGAAAAGCTTGCAAACGCGCGGCTAATGCGAGCCGACATACGCCGAATCGCGATTCCGGCCAAACATGGTCTCTGAAAGTAGGTCACAGGTCAAAAGTCATTTGGGTCAGGGTCATGAAATTTTAAGGTTTGGTGTAAAATTGATCAATGCGAGGGTACTAAAAGTTTCGTCGCGATCGGCCGCTTTTTACGCGGGTTATTCGCGAAAAACCGAGGGGGAAGGTTGCATCAACCCCCCCCCCCCCGTGCTGGCGAGGGATAAGGCCAAACATCGATACCAGGTAAGCGCAGTCGGTACGGTGGTGAAGGAGTTGGTACAAGAACATAACATCGGTATGAATGAGGCGGGCTTTGATGGACTCCTCATGAGGAGCCCCAGCATCCGGCAGCAAATCTATGGCTTTCGTTTATTGAAATCAATGTGCTATTTTTAAATATTTTTAATCAAATTAAATCAGTTTTGAGTAAATAAATGTAAATATAGCACGGCAAGTATAGCATTATTATTTAACCCTCGCCGGCACAGGATGACAGGATGACATCAACCCTCCCGTTGATGCAACCCCCCTAAGGTTTTTCGCGAATAACTCGCGTAAAAAGCGGCCGATCGCGACGAAACTTTCAGTACGCATTGATCAATTTTACACCTACTCTAAAATTTCATGACCCTGACCCAAATGACCTTTGACCTGTGACCTACTTTCCGAGACCATGTTTGGCCGGAATCGCGATTCGGCGTATGTCGGCTTGCCTTAGCCGCGCTTTTGCAAGTTTTTCGTGGTTTCAAACGTTCAAACATGTGATTTGATGTTCCTCCCATGCATAAGGGTGAATGTCAAGGTCACCTGAAGATCAGTTCAGGTCATTTACCTTTGGTGACCTCGGTTCACTTTTTCGAGTTTTACATGTTTCTAGGCTAGTTTTTCGAGCTGAATTCGAATTTAGCAACCATTTGAACATTTACGAAGTAGTTTTGGTGCCTTCGTAACATGTTACGAAGCTGTCAGAGGTGATTGACACGTACTACAAATACCCGTCACGGCCCCTACCGGTTGACCTGAGACATCATCTTAAAGACATCATCTGTGATCAAAACTAACACGATATTCGTGATCAGCACCCCGGAAACTCCATAGCAGCCACACTTTACGACTTTCTAACAGGTCACGATTTTCCCGACTTTTGGGTCATTGACCTGACCTGGAAGGTCAACCGATGAACTAGGAACTTAAAATTGGGCACCATCGGCTTTCTCTCGTAACGGGCAACACGCTCGTTTTTTTCCGCGAAGCTCTAGCTAGATCAGAGGCCAAACGCGAGTGGGATCCCCCCTCCCTTGTGCCATCGAAGGACGCAAAATGGCCTGTGCCGGCGAGGTTTAAGTTCCAGGGACAAAATGCAATATTTCACGAGAACCATGTCCGGAGAGTAACCATCGCGCCTGTCCCGTCAGGCGTCATGTTGGATAGCCCTCAATATAAGCTCATTCGTGCTGAGCTATGCAGACCAGGCTGCCTAAGCGCGGACCTACCAAAAGTCCGGTAGGGCCTGAATTTAAAATTTTAAACCCAGCGTGTTCTGAAATATGTTCAAAAACTTCCGTGATTATGAATGCATTGAGTGAGCCAAAATTGTTTTACAGTGGCGCTATTAAAACAAGCTCTCGAATCGATTTAACATCATTTCTTGCATGATGCCTGATACAGTAAAAAAAGAACAGCTGAAAAAAGACCTACGAAAAATATGGCATGCCTTTTTGAAAGCTATTGAGCACCCCCAATGATTTTTGGAAAACTACACCCATGGATACAGAGCAAATGGTATTTTCTTGACATCATGATATGATAGTACTATCCTTGTTTATTAATGGTGAATAAAATTACGCGGCGCAGCCATCTTTGAACACCGTTATGTATGAAGATGCATCGCATAGTAAGTATAGGTAGGTGTGTATCTTCATATAGTGATACTAAAAAAAACTTTTTTGACGGTAGCTATGTACTACCTACAGTGAAAAGAAAATTAGACGGGACGAACTTTGATCATTTATTGGTTGGTAGGTACATATTTTTTAACTTTAAATTGACACTTTGTGAATGCGTTATTATGACTGTGTGGCAGGGACTGTGTGGCTGGGACTGTGGAACCGTGTGGTCGGGGCTGTGGAACTGTGTAGTCGGGACTGTGAGACTGTGTGGCTGGAACTGTGAGACTGGGACTGCGGGACTGTGAGGCGCACCGGGTGGATGTGTGACTGACCGCAGCACACACGGTGGTTACGGTTAGTCGTCGGCGCAGTCACCGGTCGAAGGTCAGGTCCCGGCGCAGTGGAGCTGCCCCTCCCTCCATTGGTGCCGAGGCTGTAAACGAGAGGCATTGTGTCCGCCGATCGTTGGCCGCGATGGAAATTCCCGTCACGGCGCCCGGCCGACGCGGCGGGACTCGGCGTGACCGGGCAGTGGGTCTGATGCCCGGCGCGATTTCCACCTCCCGGCCGCCGGCGGCGGACGATTCCCCGCTCCCCGCCGACTGCCCGTGAAAGTGCCGCGCCGCCGGCGGCCGGCGGGCGGCTGCTCTGCGCGCTGCGCCATTAGGCCGGCGGCCCGGCGCGGCCCTGCGGATTGGAGGCCCGTCTGATGAGCGTCTGTTTGCGCCGGCAGGTGAGGCGGCCGGCGCTGGCGGCTGGCGGCTGACGCCCGGGCCGACACGCTCGGCTGGCGCCGCCCGTCCGCTGCAGCCGACACAACGGAGCCGCGAGTCAAGGACCGGCCGGTCGTGGACCCGCCGCGGCCCGGCCGGCGCGCCCGGCGCACTTCGACATTCACCGAGCCGACGGCGTGACTGTCCCCGTGGCGGCCGTCGTGACTACCCCCGTGACGGTGACTGAGCGCTCCTGTGACGGCCGTCGAGACTGCCCCCGTGACGGCGACTGAGCGCTCCTGTGACGGCGACTGAGCGCTCCTGTGACGGCGACTGAGCGCTCCAGTGACGGCGACTGAGCGCTCCTGTGACGGCGAGGGCAGCGTCTGTCGGCGGCAGTGAGCTGCACCGGCAGCAAGGAACAGTAGCAGCGAGCTGCACCGGCAGCAAGGAACAGTAGCAGCGAGCTGCACCAGCAGCAAGGAACAGTAGCAGCTCGAGCTGCACCAGCAGCAAGGAACAGTAGCAGCGAACTGCACCAGCAGCAAGGAACAGTAGCAGCGAGCTGCACCAGCAGCAAGGAACAGTAGCAGCGAGCTGCACCAGCAGCAAGGAACAGTAGCAGCGAACTGCACCAGCAGCAAGGAACAGTAGCAGCGAGCTGCACCAGCAGCAAGGAACAGTAACAGCTCGAGCTGCACCAGCAGCAAGGAGCAGCGTTTAGCGCGGTATCAGCGAGTGACGCGTTTGTTGCGGTGAGACCGAGCGTGGCAGCGAGTCATGGTACCGGCGAGTGAGCTGCAGTGCCTGCTACGGTGACGGCTAACGGCAGTGTTCACTCGAGCGGGTGCTGTGACGGTGGAGGCGAGTGACATTGTTCACTCGAGTGAGCATTGTTACGGTGACAGTCAGCGCCAGTGTCTGACGGGCAGTCAGTGGCAGTGTCAGTGTCCGTTACGGTGACAGCCAGTGGCAGTGTGACAGCGGGCGCCGGTGTTAGTGTCCGTTACGGTGACAGCCAGTGTCTGATTGGCAGCGGACGCCAGTGTCAGTGTCCGTTGCGGCGGAGGCAGCTTCGGCCGGTCGTGGCCAGCCGCGCTGCCCTCAAACGAGGCGTCCGTCACCGTCAGCTCGCCTCGGAGTCTCCCTCGCCGCCGGCACCATGCTGGCCGCCATCCGAGGACGTAAGAGCGAGTCTCCCACGCGCTTCAGCGAGATCAGCCTGCGGCGCTACAGGAAGAATGCCCGGTAAGTACCTACCTAGAGCTGCGGCGCTGCCCTGTGATATGCTCTGGGAATGGCCAATGGATTCAGCCACGTGACTGATAGCCAGGTTGGTTCTTAAATTCAGAATATGTGGGGTGGAATTTGGGCTTCCATGGTGACAGGGTATTGCTAATTATTCAACGTCATAAGCGCACTGTGCTGATGGTGGCCGCTCCTACCCCCGGCCGGTGTGTAACAGCGCGGGTCGCCATAACTGGTCTCCTCCTTCTGATATAATGCCAGGAGGCAAACTGGATGGATCGTCAAAGCGCATTTCGAAAGCATCATGACCAGTTCAAGCCTGTGCTAACGACCTGCAGGTCACCGGAGGTCACAGTCTCTCTATTACGCCATTATCTGACAAACGACACAGTATCTCGCAAACTATAAACTATCGAAGAACCCAGGCGCGCACACAGGATTTTTGAATGGGGGGGGCACGACCTTCGAACTGGGCCCCCCATGCCGAAGGGCCCCCCCCCCAAAAAAAATACGGCCCACGGGGCTATATTTCGGTTGGTTTGAAGCTTGAGCAATTGGTTTGTCAATGCATGGTAGGTAAAACAATTATTTCGGTACCAGCTTAATTTTCAAAACATATATATTTTTACGCTAGCATGTTTTTTTAGCATGTTTTTTTCGCGGACCCCGGGCCCGCGAGTCACCCGGGGGCCCGGGGTCAGCTCAGGCAAGGATGTATCCAGGACCTTTCGATGGGAGGAGGAAGGCACGGTGGGTCCAGTCTCACTGGCAGACGGGTCTCTTTAAAACGGTCTTTGCATGAGAAAATGTGGAAAATCGGCAAGCAAAAGTATCATTTATGCCCGAGGAGTGTGCCTAATGTTCAGTGTTGTTAGACATATTTATGAAATCTGATGGCCAAGAGTTGCGAACGAAAATTATAATTAAAATCTAAATCTTTTTGTATTTCAGACGTTTCGACAAACACTGTGTCATCGTCAGTAATTGATATAAAATATTTCCTAAAGTCCCAAGTCACATTTTAAAAATAACATCAGCATCAAGAAATTACACATGGTAATGACATTTCGGTATTTTACATTCGATCACGTTCGTTCCTAACACGCGTGCTCCGTTTCAGCAAGGATAATCTGGCTGTCGCTACTGCCATCGAATAAAATCCCCCTCTTGTATTTAGTGTGTTCTTAGTCTTGATGTGTGCAGCCTCTAGTGCCCTCCTGATATTTTTGTTAATACCTTTCTCTAAAATTTCAGCCCCTTCCCACCTTGGTAAGTGCCCGGCCTCATCCACATGAACCACTATCGCATTACTTAACACGTGCCCCCTCACGTCTCTTCTGTGTTCCCCGACACGGGTACCTAGGCCCCTACCTGTCTCGCCTACATATTGTTTTTCGCAAACAGCGCACGGTATCTGATAAACTATGCTACTTTCGTGATCCTTATCTTCGTCCAAGGCTATATAAACCAGGTAGAACGCTCCGGGAAAAAAGTTGGAAACAATAAATTAGTTGCAGCATTCCCTGATGACGCGAATGTGGGTCAGCGGCCGGCGGCCGGCCGCCGCTAACACTGTATGAGGAGGGATGCGCGGAACTTTTGCTTGTTGGTGATTGCGCTAGGCAGTTAAATGGTAATGTTAGGATATGTTTCAAAAGTAAATTGAACGACGCTTCGAACGCCGTCAATGAATTTGCGATATGACGACTATTTGTTTAGTTAGAGCCGGCGAACTTTTACCTTCCGACCGCGCGCGGAGGCGATATGGTGCCACACTGGCGGTTTTTACGATAGCTCAAAATTCTTTTGAGATAAATAGATGAAATTTGACATGTCCTATCTTTTGATCAAGCTGGATCTTATGGTACAAGTCGCATATTTAAGGTAGGTCATGTTGTTGACCTATGTTGTCGCTCGTGAGCCTCTGCACAGTCCAAAAACAACGCAATTTCTGAACACTCAGTGCCAAGAAATCCTTCACAGAAAGATGACACTTGGCAGAAAGAAGAGTTGTCGGTTTCTTACCGTTCGTATGTGTCGTGTTTTCACGAGAGTTTAGTAAGCTCAGGTCCGTCACGTGACCTCCCCTCATAACTCAATAGGTTTACTATCATAGAAGCGTTTATCAATCGCCGGAAATCTTAGCCAATCCCACTGGACACTGTATCCATACCCACATGGGGCCCTCCTGACTGGCCATTCCCTCTGAAATCCACAATAACATTGGGCTGCGGCCACGGTTATGTATTAATGCTTTTCACTAACAGAAATACAACTTCAACCAGCACAGTGCACGCCGCCACAACAGTCCGACCCACGTCCCTGATATCGACTAGCTCCCGGCCGTATGCACATACCCGGAGCCAATCAGTCCGAATGTGACCTGCAGCTTACAATTGCTGTGTCGCATGGCGCATGGCACAGGACGATTCCTAGCAGCTGTCGGCTGGAGTGGAGAAACAGCACGTTGCGACACACCGCGCCGGCGACAGAGCTCAGCAGGGCTGGTTGGAGGCTGGAGCCGGAGGTAAGGGCGGACACAGGCACAGACATTGCAGGACAAATAACAGGATGTCAGTTAGGGATATAATTCAAGACGAATGATTCAAGACGGACTGAAATAATACACATTTTGCTCACTTGGATACTAACTTCAAACTTGACGTTTATGTATAGCACCATGGAAACAATGGGCACACAGGAAAGAAACAAAAGATGAGGGTTTTTTAACTCAAGGAAGTAAAACAGCCCGAAGTGCAGACAAGCACATACTTTTGGTAATAGCTATCAGCTGTCCTACTCCTCTTCTCCCTTCATCAACTACTGGACACATTTGAAGCATCATATATAGCACCAATGTCCATAACCAAAGCTTGCAAGTAGTTTTAACTTCTATGAAGCCAAGGGAAATGTGCCTACATTATGCATGTAAACTCAAAATTACACATGCATGACAAAGGAAGCTTATGTGAAGAGAATAGTTGACAAAAGCATCTCATGGTTAAAACTATTCAAAACTGCACACAGGGCAAACATAAAAAGCAGCAAGTGTACTGTTCTGTTATGCTAAGAAATAGTCCAAAACAAAATGCAATCTTTTCATGTTTGAACTGGTCGTTCTTCTATGCCCCTTCATCCATATCTTGATTACAGATGGGCTGTTACTGTAGGCTGATGAAGTGACACTTGATTGCCTTTGTGCGAGTTTCAGCTGCAGCCTCCTTGGTACTGCACTGGAAAGCAGATTGAATTGAATGCCTCTGAAAGATAGGAATACAGGCAAAGTTAGCTGTAGTAGTGTCAATGATAATAGACATGACATTTTTGTCCTTTGACATACATTTGTTGAAGTACAAAAAGGTACAAAATAAATTGGTTTGTTTCAAGACACGCACACTGCACAAAGCCGCACAGACATTACACAGGCATATGAAATTGGTACACATAAAAATTGATGATTAAAAAGGTCAAAACTTGCAATAATAATTGAAGTAAAAGTTACAATCACAATCATTTGATTTAAAATGACTTGACATAAGTCACAAGACGCAACGCTCCTATTCTTTTATGCTTTCATTATCCTCCACATATCAACCAGCTTGATACCAGGCTGTGCAATAGTGTGTACATAACCCCATGTTGCCATTTTATTAGAGCAAGTGGGGTTACAACAACAATGCTAATGTCAAACCCACATCTGCAACCCGTACTGCAGTTTCAATCACCTTACAAGCACACCTTCTGGCAGTTTGATAGGCAGAATGTACAGATACAGTTTAGACCTGGTTATGGCAAGCACTTTCGAGAAAAGATATGATTAAAGTCCAAGACAAAGGTCGAGAGAAACAACTCCAACATAAAACACCGACTATGTAGCACTAATACTGTCAAATTCATAAAAATATATACATGAGTCGATCAGAAATTCACTGTAGATTTCGAAAATGGTGTCAAATGCCACTCAAATACCCCCATTCGCATGTACGAAGCAATAAAACACTGACCTTCAATTCCGCGTGCCATTCTCCATAGGCCACTGTGTATTAAATAACGCGTTCACTGATAGCAAAAAAAGAGACCCACATATGACGCGTTTGCTACCAGCCAATCAGCGCTCGAGTTACCGAGCGCTGATTGGTGGAGAGGGCCGTCGTCAGCAGCTAATTACACGTTGTTTTCCTTGAACATGTGTGTGAGCGCTGATGCTGCTCACGGGCTGTTGCCATTTTTCGTAACGCTGAAGGCACGGGAGCGAACCCCCCTGTCTTCGTCGCGTGCACCTTTTAGAATATCGCCACTTTTGTGTCCCGCACTTATTACCGTCTTGAATCCGGCATGTTCAAGCTGTCGTGCTACCGTATCCACCTTTTCAAAATTGGGAATGCAGAGCAATCTACTCGATTTTTCTATTCTTGCGTTTTCTTGCGAACGAAACACTAATGAAAGAGAAAACGCAAGAATAGAAAAATCGAGTAGATTGCTCTGCATTCCCAATTTTGAAAAGGTGGATACGGTAGCACGCAAGGCCTCGTCTAACATGTTAACTGGGGGGCCATACCCCCGCAGTCATCGACCTGGCCCCCCCAGTCAGGGCAAAAAGTCACTACTGGGGGGGCCGGCAATAGCCAAAAGGCAAACGAATTTTTATTTCGAGGCGTCAGTGCACATAAAAACAAATGTGTAAACGAAACGATGCAATGTGAGCACATTGAAATACCTACCTCATTACCTAGGGCTGTTATGTGTTTATTTTGTTTACCTGAACCATTTTTTTTTTTCGCTCAGCAATGCGTTACATTTCGTCTTTTCAGGCGCCCAACTCCGTGTCCCGGATATTCTTTTTTCATAAATTTAGTCCGAACCTTTTGAATGGAAGGATTCACAAGTACAGAGCCCCCGCTAAGCAGAGCTTTGCGTTGGCCCTGCCCTCTACCCTCCGATCGCGCAATTCGTGATCTATGGCAGAATTTAGAGCCCAAAGTTTAACGTATGCACATAGC